TTATTTGTCTTTGGTCACTTTGTTTATCAGGCCTCTCGACATTAATATGGTCATTACTAATATGATTAACTAAAACTGATTTGGCTGCAGTTTTGAATAAATCTGGTTTTCAGCCGTGAAAAATGATAAAGATGGAAAATCATTTTAGAAAGTGACAATCAGGGCCCAGCTCTGTGACCTGAAGCTGTAAGCATTCATGTTGGAGGTCACACTGTTGTTACAGTGTTAGCTATTTATGATATTATTGCAGTGTTAGTGATCTAATATCTGAAGTCTCTGTGCTTCAATGATGAGCATCAGCAACAAACATACAGGATCACTGGGCTCATTTTTTCTGTTGGCTGTGAAGAATTTTGGAAAAACTTTATTGCTCTGGATTACTTTTTTCAAGTAACTTGACCAACACTGGTAATAAGTGAATGAATAATGCAGAAAACAAAGTTTTGAGACTGGAAACATTTGACCTTAGAACTGAAGAAGCTTCTCGGATGAGAGGTGAAACGCCTTCAAGCGACTTAAAGAAGTCCAGACGCTTTTCTTTCCAAGCTCCTTAGACTACGATGACCTGGATGACTGAGAGCCTTCACAGACATATGGTTTGCTTTGGTTCTTAGCGAGTGCTGATCAGGTATTACAGGCGGCAGCATGGTGTAATGGTCTTTTGTTTAACTCCAGCTGAGGGATATAAATTGCTGATCGTTTCACCTGTGCACATTGTTTTAATCAGTTTTAAACTTGTGTTTTTCTCCTTATGGTCACTTCAGGCCTCCACACACAAATAGATTCTGGTTTCGATGTCAGGACTAATTTAGTGGTGTATCATGACATCTGACCAACAGTTTAAGTCATTTAAGTTTAAATTAGTTTGACCACAGATTGTCATTTGATGCTTTTTAGGGCCCAGAACTGTTCTTTGACTTTTTTTCTAAAATTATTTTAGCACAAATTGTGATTAGAAAACGTTTCAGGTTAGTTTGTGTATTCATCCAAAGAACTGCTGTGTGAACTTTAATAGCTGTTTAAAAGTCAAACACAGCAACAGGTGGTGATGACATTACAACTACAACATAAGTCCAAAGACACAGAAGTTACAAAGCTACACAAACAGAATTAGATGACAGGATCAGCAGAAATGTCTGGAAACTCACCTTAATCCTGAACCTTTCCACCTTTAACGTCACCATCGCCCTGAACTGGGCTGGAATATTAACGGGGATAAAATAAAAACCTACAATAACCTGGTTGCATTCAGGTGAAGGTGTTTCTCAAACTCTGTAGAAGCACCTTTAGATTTTTGCCCATGTTGTTTGCAGGAACATTGCAGCTCTATGAGCGCCCTCGCCTCTGTCAGTGCGCCCCAGGGCAGCTGTGGCTACAATGTAGCTGCCATCACCAGTGTGTGAATGTGTGGGTGAATGGGTGTATGACTGGCTTTATGTAGTGTGAAGTGCTTTGGGGTCCTATGGACTAGAAAAGCGC